GTGCCACCAACAGTGCTGCTGCCATCTGCAGGAGCTTTGCCATGCCCCCCCAGCCTCCAGGGGTACAAAGCATTCGTGGCTGAGGTTAGGGTAGTCTCCTGGCGTGCATGGGGGTTGGATCATCCTAGAAGTGATGTGGCCCACTGAGAATCAGTTCACCTTGGAGGTGAAATGAGTTCAGATTAGGGCTACTGTATTTTCAGTTTCAAAGAAGAGGACACCTGTGGGGGAAAAAGAGGGAAGGGGCATGTGATGGGGTGGGAGCAGTGATATATGCCCATGTCGTGTTGTCACTCCCAAGCCACAGTGCTGCTGCCCCCTCAGCCCTGCTGATCCCCCTCACTCCTAATCCTCAGTACCCTGCCCCCCAGACCCATTTCCAACCTACAGCCCACCTGGCCCTGCTGATATTCCTCGCTCCTGAGCCATAGCCCCTTGTCTCCCCCAGCCCTACCAGTGCCCCTCACCTGCTTCCCCCACCCTGCTGCAGCCCCGGCACTGACACACACATGCACACTTGCAGCTGCCCAGCTTGTGCATACAGGATCTGATGCCCTGCCTCCAATCACCTTCCCTTGCTGCCCCCATCCCCAAGCAGCTTCTTGCTGGGGCAGAGGCAGAGCAAAAGCCCAGACACTTCCTGATATTTTACAAAACTGCCCAGACACAGATGGGAGGTCCCAAAAAGAGGACATGTCCAGGAAAACTCGGACGTATGGTAACCCTAGTTTAGATCTGCTTGTGGTTAACCTGTTCTAGGAGGAGTTAACTCACCCGACCGCAGCTGTCCTGCTTTAACCCCACCCCTTCTGACAGGGCTATTTCCCTCTGTCCCTCATACTGGACATGTCCTCCCAAACCTCCCTAGCCTCCAACTTACTTACCTGCAGCTGTTTGTACCCAGCCAGTAGCGAACATTTGCACATGTGGGATCCCAGCTCAGGCCTACAGTAAGCCACTTAAACCTGAGCTGGGTGCCACAAATGCTTGTTTGTGGGGAGACTTCAAGTATATAGAATCCCTGTATTTTGACATGATTTGTCAAGTTCTTATATTTTAACCCTGGGTGGTTATGAAAAAGAATGTTGTAACGTATTGCTTGTAGGTGTGAATTACCGTAAGGTGTCACTACTTGGTATTGCTTGAGTAGGGGAGTCTTCTTTGCCTTGTCAGTTGTATCAGGCAGCCTGTGACTTGCAAGCTGAAGTTTTGCAAATGTATCTGTTTATAATTACCAGTAGAGGTGTACAGATTCATCATTCCCATATCAGATGAGCACTGATATAAGGAAAATTGACTGTATTGGCAATCAGCTTTTTTTGGCTGGTGTGACTGATAAATGCCCCGTGCATGCGCAGCTGCAGCACAGCACACAGGCACCCAGGAGCACAGCTTGGCAGCATGAAAAGCAGCTGAGTCTGGCTGGTAAGTCTTGTGAGGGAAGGGGCGTGGGGGGGCAGAGATAGAGGCCCCTGCAGTGAGGGAGGCAGTGGGGCAGGTGCAGGCACTGTTCACCTGGGGTAGGGTAGGCGTGGGACAGAGCTGCGAGTGGCTCATCTAGGGAGTGCAGAGGGAGCAGCTCCTGCTGCTGCATGCACCCCAGGAGGCATGGGTGTGTGGGGGGGTGCCACCGGATCTGTGGACGGGGTGGGCTGTTGCTGCGAAGTAGGGCAGCACTGGGTTCTTCCTGGTGGGTGTGTTGGGCCAGGGTGGTGCTGGGCTCTTCCCGGGGGGGACGGGGACTGGGGGCTACAGCAAATTTTGGGGTGGCTGCAGCCCCCCCCAAGCCCTCTCCCAGTGCTGCTGCCCATCCTGAGTGCAGCCCTGGCTCACCCCCCACCAAGAAGAGCCTGGCCCCAACCTTTAGCATCAGCCTGCCCTCATTCTGTGCACAGATCTGGAGGCACATGTCCCCCCATGTCCTCCTGAGGTGCATGCAGTAGCAGGAGCCACCGCCTCCCACGCCCCCTAGAAGAGCCACTTACAGCTCTGTCCTGCACTCCGTCCTGGCTT